GAAAACCTGCAAGAAGACAACAACAACAAAAGCGACCAAACCTACAACAACCACAAAAGCGACAACGAGAAAACCGACAACCACAAAAGCCCCAACCACTAAAGCGACAACGGGAAAACTGACAACGGCAAGAGCACCAACCACAAGAGCGACAACGAAAAAACCGACAACCGTAATAGCACCAACCACAACAGCAAAACCAAGCACAACAGTTAGAATACAAAGAACAACGGAGCCTAGCGCGAAAATGTCCAAAATTCAGTCAACAACAAGCAACACGAGGAAAGGAATGCCATCCACCAAGGAAACCCATAAATCCAGCACAACAGACAACGGGAGAACACAAAAACCCATTGGAAATTCAAACGCGACAACTGCACAAAAACCACAACCTTCGACTGTGACCGGCGCCAAAACTACAGGTCCCACGTTCACCAATTCGCAAAATTCGTCCAACACTCCAGCTAAAGCACAAAACCTCAGTACGCCAACGACCAGTGGCATTACACACAGCTCATTTAACAAAACCGAATATCCGCAAACAGAAAAAAATTTGAATAGATCAACTGGAAACCCACAGCATGACTCTGAGCCTCCGAGTCTGGCTAAGTCCAACACCACAGATCCAGTGGTGACTACCACAAAAAAGTTGATCTCTAATCAGACTGAACCAGTAGCTCACAGGTCGGCAACATGGATTAGCGGAAATACCAGTGAAAACAGCCAAACGGGTAACGTTGAAACAAAAGTACCTATGGAAACATCAAACGCGACGTCAGCACAAAAATCACAAGCTTCGATTGTCACAGGCACCCAAACTGAAGTAACCACGTTGCCTAGTACACGAAGTCCCTCCGGAATTACAAATGGAACACAAAATCACAGTACGTTAGCGATCACTGGCATTACACGCAACTCAATCAACCAAACCGAAAACCCGCAAACCGAAGAAACTCTGAATAAGTCAACTGGAAACACACAGCATGACTCTGGGCCTCCCAGTTTGTTCCAGGCCAACACGACAGCACCAATGAGGGCTAGCACGCAACAATTGAACTCTAATCAGACTGAACAACTAGGCAATATATCGGCAGCATCGACTAGCGGGAATACCAGTGAAACCAGCCAAACCAGGAACGCTGAAACACATGAACATACAGAAACTTCAAACGCGACGTCAGCACAAAAATCACAAACTTCGATCTCGACAGACATCCAAACTGCAGATCCCAAGTTGCCCAGTGAACGAGAACCCTCCGACATTCCAACTGAAACACAAGATTTTAACTCGCCGATGACCACCAGCTTTACATACAGCCTATTTAGTGAGGACGAAAGCGCGCAAACTGAAGAAAGTTTAGACAGTTCAAGTGGAGGTATGCTGCCTGAATCTGAGTTTACGGATATGACAGAGTCCGAAATCATAGCTTCAACGATATCTACAACACAACAGTCGATCTCCGATACGACTGAACCAGCAGCCGATATGTCAGCAACATGGATTAACGAGGATACCAGTGAAACCATCCAAACCGAGAACGTTGAAACACAGGAAACAATGGAAAGTTCAAGCTCGACAGCCGCGCAAAGATCACACTCGTCGATTTTCATGGACACTCAAACTGCAGATCAATCGTCGTCCAGTGGACAAAATCCCTCCGACATTCCAACTGAAACACAAGACCATAATTCTCCAATGACCAATAGCTTTACACACAGCCTATTTAGTGAGGACGAAAGCGCGCAAACTGAAGAAAGTTTGGACAGTTCAAGTGGAGACATGCAGCATAAATCTGAGTCTCCGGATATGAAAGAGGCCAACACCATGGTTACAACGATAACCGAAGCACAACAGTCGAATCCCAATCCTAGTGAACCAGCAGCCCATATGCCGGCAACATGGAGTAGCGAGGATATCAGAGAAACCAACAAAACCGAGAACGTTGAAACACAGGAACCAAAGAAAAGTTCAAGCTCAACAGCCGCCCCAAAATCACAATCTTCGATTTTGTCAGACATGCAAACTGCAGATCCCGCGTTGCCCAGTGCACAAAATCCTTCCGACATTCCAGTCGAAACACCAGACCATAGTTTGCCGATAACAATTGGCACTAACCACAGGTCAATTAGTGAAGCTGAAGTCCTGCAAACTGAAGACATTTTGGACAGTTCAACCGGTAGCATACATCGTTCCTCCTTCCAGCTCGCCATCGTTGATATATACCTCGTCAGTTCTTTGATCGCATGTCTTAATTGACTGACTACATTTCCATAGACTACGTGTAACTGACAATGCACTCATTCTTTCTTCATCATTTTCCTTCATTCTTAATCGCTTGGATTGCATTGGTGATATCATAATATCATTTTTGAAATGTAATTTGTATTTACTTATTATAAATTGTACGGTTGCCATGGGATTTCATTTTAAATGGAGGAAGGATTCATTGAGCACATGGATCATACAAAAGTAGATGCCAAGCAGCAAATTTATGTGCGATGATTTCATTGATTCATTTCGATTCTAAAAAACGCTCGGTGGTGTGACTATCTTGAAAGCGAATCTTTATGGAATGCGAAAACTGCGATTCGAAGCTCTAATTATCTAGTTTCAGGCATCTTCCTGTCACCCCGGTGAAACTTCCAAAAATATACTGGACATGGGGGAGCCATCCTAACAAACTGGAACATACGCATCTAACAGAGCTAGTTCAGATGAAAATCCGCTAAGGGTTGGCATACGGACAAGTTAGTTTCCAAGTGGAACTTTTGTTCGGAAAAAATGCATCTATCTGCCAACAATTGGCTTTGATGTACCTCAGACGGAAGAAAGTAACTAGAAACTTGACAATAGTAGAGAATAACTCCGTATGACAGTCCCTCGGTCACTTATTATTTGAAGTCTATCAGTATCTACGTGACAGTGATTTCCTCAGTTCAAACACAAATGAAAATAAAAAATTATGGAATTTCATTCGAAATTCCATTATGTGCCTCATATATATGGAGTTTTGAACAGTTATATTCTAACTTTTCGAAATCCCAGTTTACAAATTTTCGGATGAAAAGATATGCAGTTAATTGAACATACTTAGAGATACCAAGAAACGCCGTATACTTGTTAGATTCTCATGGTATAATGGTAGGTGCCACAGTTTCAGGTAATTCACGTCAATCTGTGCTTGAAACAAGACGTCCTATAATTGATTGTAATAAATTTGAAAGATGAGGTAGCTTCCATTCCACAAAACCCCAGATATATTCGAAAACACAACGACCCGGAGAGTAGCTAAAGAATGAGACCAAACACCACCAGCGAGTCAAGGACAGTGCGAAAACCGCGAACATAAACAGGAAAGAGAGTAAATTCTTAGAGAATTATACTAACATGCAAAAAAATTGGTTCTGTGGAAGACTCACTTGGAAACCTAGCTCATTCTCTCGTTTGTGATGTTTCCATGCAACTGCGTGTGATGCACCAGGCCGTCTCATGTTTCAGTGGCTACGATATTCAAGATATCGTGACACATTTGAATTCATATTTCTGATTGCTGGTTGATTCATCACATTCTCCTAAGCTGTTAGCGGGATCATTAGTTGACTGTCTCCCGATGTGACGAATTCTCAGTTGGAATGCTCTCTCACGTATGACTTATTGCGACATGTGGGCTCTTCACAAGTATTTCATAATCTGTGGATAATTTCAAAAGGTTGTGAAAGTTTGGTCCAATATGTGAAGTCAGTGTGCGACAGAAAGTCAAAGATCACTGAAACTATTTGACAGGAATTTCGAACTTTCTGGCTGAGTTTACAACCACTTGCCGCAGTAAGAACTAATCAGACGGTTTATGAACCAACTGTGAATAAATGGTTCATTCTTTACCCACTGTCTTTTTGTTTGTTCATGAGTTTTCACGTGTGACTTCAGCGCACCTTCTAAACGCTTAGCATCCTCTCGGTTTTCTCTGATCTAAATTGCACAGGAAATTTCCGCACGAAAAATGACATACGTACGTGTGTATGTGAAACGAATTGCTGAACAAAGGACGATACATATTGCTATCCCTTTGAGATTGTGGAAGATTTTACGGCAGTTCACGGGCTCTGCCATGCTGCATCCCTGGAGCCACTGCGAACCGTTGTACCTGACACAAATTATCAGAGGTTTGCGGCGTATCCGTTCCATTTCAGAGTGCGGCATAAATAGATTGTGGGTCGCCAGCAGTAAGTCGTAAGGTACCTTGCACGCAGACTGAAATAGATATATCAGTGATGCAATTACTCAAGAAGCGTTTGGCGAGATGGAAAACTATGCAGATTTAGTGAAATGTAGTCTCAAGAGCAACGTAGTTATGATAAAATTAAACGCCAGGTATCCCGCTAACATTCTTCAGAATTCATAAATATGCTGTAGGGGCTGTTTAGGTGTTAGCTGGCTTTCGGTCCAAACGGCACAATCAAAAATAACGTCTGCGGACGAAAACAGAGCTCATTTGGTCGGTTTGTTCAATGGAAATACAAGCGGTACGAATGTCAAATAAAGACGGTCCAGGAGAGACTGGATTATTGTAGCGACATAGAGACGAACGAATGTTACTTCAATTTCATTAAAAGTTACATTTGGTGGATGATGTGCTATCTGATAATTGAGAACAATCATGCACAGGGACAAGTTATCCAGAATATGTCGGTCGGCGGACGTTCGAGAAGAATTGACCAGGAGTAAGGATTTCGGAGGGTACGTTGTTACAGAATTAAGAAGACAATAGCCCCATCAAGAGCCTAATTAAGTTCACTGAAATCTTTGCGCACTCAATCGCTTTCTGAAGACTGTCTAGGTGCTGAGGATATAAATTGATTGGTGATCATTAAAAATGAGCACACTCGATCTACCAGTATTTTTCTAGGCATAATGGTGTGACAAACCCATGGGATATCTTATCTAGCAGCTCCAGTTGGTCGCTTCATGTATTTTCCACAAATCGGACGATTTTGCCTCTATACCCTTTGAGTGACGGCCCTATCCCTTCTTTGAATTCTCTACTAAACATCTTTTTAGATATTCTACTTTTTTAGTCTCTGTCCTATTCGATGAAGAAATAAGTCATCAACGTTCATTCACTGAAACAGGTCTCAGCGTTAAGTGGAGCATTGAGGAATGCCTCAGTAATCAAACGCATTGATTAACGCATCCAGTTTGCCCTTTCTATGCAAATCTACAAAGTAATTCTTATGTTAGGAAGTTAAAACTCGAACTTCTTATTAATCCGTCCCGGTTTCGCAAGCAACAAACTGCAGCAAAAGAATTGTGTCCGCAAAGCACTTGATGGAGCTGTTTTATGCCTCCAAAAAATTCCAGTCATCTGGTCAAACCGGATGTAACTTCTTTGAGGCTTTTTTCTACTTCCGGATGTAAACTGCCCTATACTCTTTGTATATGTGCGTATTTGGTTCAGCTAAGTTCGCCGTAGTCTTTTGTGGTTCGGAGTGGCGTAACACGGTATTTCGGCAGTCCCTTCATAGATTTTCCAAGCATTATCTTCGGGTATGTATGAACCAGTAACCATCAAAACATGTGACTTTCCGGCCTTCTGAGCGATCGGCCACATATATTTTGTATGAATATTTTCAAATGCAGAACATTGCTCACTTCAACACCATCTGTTGTTTTCCAATTCCTTCTGAAATGAAATAGAAGAATAAAAAAAAGAATGTGTTCTGTTTCCTAGACCTGAACTACTGTTCGGCGGTGACATCAAAGGCGTCCAGACAAAAACAACTCTCACTTGGTTGGGCATCTTCTCATACAAATCGAATGAAAAGGTATTGTGTGAAACATCACAACACATCTGGATTATGCGATCGTTTTTACGACTATAATGAAATGGCGACACAACCAGGGAATATATATCACAAAAAATACGTCGAATTATGAGGCAGACATTATGAGAGGGGATTAAATCGAGTCGTTTGTTACCACCGTTTTTATACGCAAACGTGTCTATGACTTTGAAGGTATCTAGTTAGCTTTAGAATACTGTAGTAGGACCGGTTATACTTCAGGTAAAAGCTCACCTGCTGTGATTCCAAATCAAATATCATAAAGTGGTTTCCCGTCATGTCACCCATCACTCGAATGGAAGATCAAGTCAGTTGTTATTAGGAATTAATGTGCAGCAATCACGGCGATTGTTCCAGTTTACTTTAGCATGGACTGAGTCCTTTTTTTATTCTATCTGAAGTACGAATCGAAACAGAGTACCATCGGGAGTCACTGTCTGATTCGCATGGCGCGACAGATGACCGTATAGATAGAATAGTTTAGAAGCTTTTATCGTTCGATTCCAACAAATTTAACGGAAAGGGTATTCTGCAGCGACAATTTCATACTGCACCCTTTGTTTCATAAGGGTACTATCGCTGGCCGTCCTAAACATCTCCTCATTTGACGAACCCACACTCGCTTTTTTGTAATTTTTTATCTCAAAATGTACCTGTGGCTTTTATTTTTGTCCAGTCATCCAGAACCGGGCAGTTCATTCTATCTCACTGAATTCTAAATCTGTTAGTCCATAGCTCCGCTGCAAAACAAGCCAAGAAGTTGTAAGTTGCCAGTCAGGAGGAATGTTCAGTTGTCATATGGAATTCATGGTTTCCTAATTAAATTTCTGCCAGGAGGATTTTGAGAATTGTGTAAGGATGTCAATTTAATGACATCACTTCGTCATACATCCTCGCCATTTTTCATATGTCTTTGGGTACTAGAAAAATAAGTATTTTTAAATACTCTCACGCGTCAAAAGACGGGATGAACGTCACGCAGATTGAGCTATCGGAACAATTTTTACGAGAAAAATTAAACAAAATCTCGAGTCACTTTTATGTAGCTAAAATAAGGCTAGCGAGAGCAAGATTATCGCTAAGGAATGGGTGATGCGCTGACGTGCTATCAGTATTAACCAGTGAAGTCACCACGATCAGTTTATGCCCAACAATGTAAATACCCAAAAATTTATGAACCAAAGGATTGCAAACTCAGGCTCTATTCTTCCTACAAATGTCGCACTTTATTAACTTTGCGGTCTTCCTCTCATTTGTGTCGTATTTGAATTTCCTATAACAACACAAATTACTTTCAGAAGATTCGTCGACCAACTCACTCTGTATTCATCATAAAGAATGGTCTGTCCGTGAAATCAGTTCCTGCGTCCACTGCGTGTCGCATGGATCGCTGAACTTGTCCATTTATCCAGACACGTCAGACGTCCTACACAATATGCTTTCCGTGCAACAGCTGGCGCGGTACCGCGATTGGTCTCACATAGCCTATGTTTTTCTTATCATCATAAGCGTCACTGAGTGCAACAGACGGCGCCTGGTTGCGACTTGGCCATTGGGACAGAACGACATTGTTGGAAAATTAAAGGAAGTTGAGGGGATGTACTTGGTTTAAGCAAGATCAGTGCTTTCAGAAAGACATCAGCAAGACAGGATCTCTGCAATTCTGGGCGAAAGTGAAATAAGGTAATCTAATTGAAGGTGATTACTGGGTAGAGCTCCTGAAGTTTTGTAACAAATGCAAGCCAGACTCGAAGGCCTGTGTCGATAAATGCTATACGCATTATGGCAAGTAAATCCGTTGAATCCACGTTCTTTTGCGCTATCGTATAATTGCCAGTAAAACACACACACGCAAACCAATGATTAGCGGAATGTTCTACAGATCACTATCATATTAATTCTGTAGGCTTTGTATTTTTTGTTAGTAATCCCCGACCGGCATTATATTACGCATCACTTAGTTGCGCACACATGAAGCCAGCTGCACCTGCTATGCTGTCTAACTATGCGAGATCGAAGAAGACGAGTGTCTGTATCATTGTCTAAGACACCACTTACAATTATCTTGTTTATGTGGGAAGTGGTATAGGTGGCTTTTTTGTAAATGCAATTAATTAAATGTTTTCCGCACCTTTATAATGATTATTTGCTGAGCTGCGGGTGTTCGTGGGATTGTGGAACAACTGTCAGTTCCTGCTAGAAGTATTCATGACCAATACTTTGTGACCGAAATCCATATAGTTATTGGTTTAATTTGACACACTGATGAAAGCAGTATTTCAACGAAGCTAAATGAACAGGTGAAAGCAAACGAAACTGGTTGTGTGAGTGGCTCTAGCGCGTACGCCCGTATTCAGTCCGTAGCCTGATTTATGATACACCACCGGACCCTGAGCATTTTCCAAAACCGAACCGAGGAAAAGGGAATATATTGACTCTGATTCAACCGGCCAACACAATATGACATTTTGCGAACTCAAGTAGGTATAATCCTGAACTCGCACGAGTAACAAATAACTATTTGCGTGCCGCCGCGAAAGAACCTCACGGATGCTTTATTTCTGATATCAACTCTCCATCTGCCAATGTTTCTTTGCACTGGATTGTAGATTACTTGTAGGGTTGGACTACTGGGATAATTGAAAGCGCTGACTTTTCTATTTACGAAAGACATTTGCTTTGAATTTAAAGAAGATGCCTAATAACTGGAGGCGGGATCATGGGTTAACCCCCGGGCCCCCTTACTGGCAGACGTACTTGCATACATGAATTGAGAGAGACACATCTGACAACATTTCACTCATAAATCCGGAAATATTTTCAAATTGTACGTTATTTTGTGGACTATGAACATTGAAAACTTACACAAATATGCAAGCCATCTATATTCGATTACCAAGAGCTTTCTTGGAGAAAATTTTCTAATGTTCCAAATGTTTTGTAAATGGTTACCATAAAAAGCCCAGGAGATGGCTTTGTGTATACACAAACAGTTTGTGCTATCTGTTGATGAAATGGCAAGACAAGTATGAACTCGCGCAAACGCGTTTCACAGTGTTTGCTCTGAAAACTGAGTGAGATGACTAACTGATCAATCAATATTCAACAATTTCCGGCCCGAAACTCGATCGCCAAACAATCTATCCACAGGTCCTAGGCCTGTGAAACAACTTAGACTTTTAGTATACTGCCAACATTAATCGAGTAAGTGCTTACTCCTAAGCCGAAATCAACATGTTCAGTGGTCCAGAACTCACGCAGTTTTTAAAATTTTTGGCGTGATCTTTTAAGCTTCCCATTTGACCACCCACTTGATACAATAAGATTGAGCTGGTGCTGGTGAGCTGTATTTATAGTTGCAAAAAATTCAAAATTTGTTCAGCGTAGTTCCTCATTTGAACCCTTACTGAGGGTTATCACTGCCCTCAATGTATATAGAGAGCGGATCGTGAAGTACTGTGACGACTGGACTGACAATTTTCTTACGTTGCAAAGAAGGTTAATTAAGCGAATTGGTTGCCTGAAATAGCAAGAAGGAAAAAATCTTACCAAATATTCAAGCGGGCTCTCTAAAACAAGCGTATGCAACACGCGGTTGTCCGGAAGGTCGGGTTACTACCTTCTGGTTTACCAAGCCATCAACTCAACCACATTCGTTTAAACGGACGCGCGCTTGCGGAAGACTGAAAATCAAGGGTGATTCGGTTGCCGGGGTATCTAATGGAGCACTTCTTTGGAACAAGGTATGAGTTTGGTAGATGCATGCCTATAGTACGTTCGTAACATTCGTAACAATAGGTTTGAGGCTAACTTCCACATGTATTTGGGATCTGAAAATGAAGGAATGCTTTCCGATGCACTAGGGTGGTTGAAGATCGAAGGCCACCTCAAGTGCAGCTGGGACAGATTTGATCGGAAATTCATGTCACATTGCTTTTTGAACCCCATATCGAGATTTTCCGAAATGATCGATATTTATGAGATCAATTACGCAGGCCAATGATGCAGATGGAATGATAGGGTGAGGTGGGGGCAGCTTTGACAAGATGCAATCCCAAGGGCTGTCTGTGCAATTTTATCCAAATCAGTCATTATGTTTCATCGTAATGTTTGATTGGATATTAAGTATGATCCTGTGTTCCCGGTTTATATTAAGTCCGCTCAGATTAAGTCGCTAATGGGAGAAATAGTCCGGAGTTGTTGACATTATAAATCACTGAACGCGTAACACTGATTGCAATATGTTGCCTGTAGATAGTTGGGAATCTTAGGAAGCATTAAGAATTTTGAGGAGAATGAGCATATGCTCCCAAATTGGAATTAGGTGGAAAACGAGCTAAACTAAGCTAACTAAACAGTATAAAATATATTTTGTGTATAAATCATTCATTATGCGGATTACATCAAGGCAGCACAACCTTACGTTAACGGGCTGTGAATAGGTTTTCCCTAAAAACAACTGATAACAATGAAGGTGATAGCTAAAACACATGGATGGCACCTTAGAATGTGCCAACTCAGTGTTATGTGTTTCACTTGACTGCTTGTATAGCTTTCCTTCATTAGTTTCATGCGCAACACACATGCTCGCAGATGTACCAGGTGCATCAGGTACCCTAACGCATGTATTACAACTCTTGAGTCCATATAACTGCAGTGCACATTTGCGGCTAATAATTCAGATTTGATAGCGCCTAATTATATGATCCCTGTTCAGGAAATACCGCATATAAAAGAACTTCTGAATAGCCCCATTGTCCAGCAGGACTATCACAATTATCTGAGTACACTGTGACGAATATGAATTGTGAACATGAGAACGTGCGAAGAAGTAGTGGAATTTACTGCGAAATCACACGAAAAACAGTAGTGGTGTAGTCATAACTCGGATTGCGGCAAAATTTAAAGCGGGAAAAAATGGCCATAACACTTAACGGGTTATGCAATACGTGTGAGGATATCTGATTGCACACGGCTTCCCGGTGTTGAAAGCCAGCATTGATATTTTCTCATTCAGTTTGCAAACCAAGTGCACGTGTTTGACATAAAGGAGAGTATTCAGGGCCAAAAAACTTGGTAGAAAAAACCGGAGTCGTGCGTACTCAACTGTGGAACACGCAACTCACTAAATGTGACCGAAAACCAAGCCAGGAACGTAAACCCGGCTCCACCAGTGATACAACACACCGTGAGAAGCGCCCAATCCCAAGAGCTGCATCAAACCACCGGGTGCATAGAACGTATGTGCTGGTATAGACGATTATGTTTGCACATACGGTTAAACCAAATATTGTTTAATATGTGCACAGTATGTCTGCAGTAGTAACCTAGAATTACGGTAAATGGCAATGATTTACTCAGCCTATTTTGCTCAGCCTATTTTGTATTTTTACTGCGAAAATATTGCAAGAGGTAAGACGGAAAAATGTCGTGCGGCACCGATAAATCGTCAACACCTGCAATAAATACGCCTACTTAAACAGACTTGTGTTGTCGCTCATGGAAAGTTGAATACCAGGAACGTCTATGGACAAAGAAATGTTCAGCAAACAAGGGAAATGGTTATTGTTGGTACAAAAAGTTATTTAAATATACAGGAACACATCTTTTATTTCGTGGACATAGTTAAATTGAATAGATGGAAACACGAACTCCGCATGCACCGGGTTACGATCGCTGATTATTCACGAGTCTACTCGTTATTTCCTAAGAAACGGAATGCAGCGGAGAGTTTCTACTTCTGACCAAGCATTTTTGAACGTGTCCACCGGGCAGGAAATATTTCCAACCAGCTTAAAAAACAATGGTTTTATGGTCGTTGGCATGTTCGCTGAGCTGGGCAATTTGTTGTGGCCCCACCACCAACCCACCGCTACGCACAACTACGCACTGATGATGTCATCTCGATTGGTGATGAAACGTTTGCAACCAAATTGCCCAGCTCAGCGAACATGCCAACGACCAACTACGCTACCTGAGCTACCGACATTCTCCTCTATAGAAAAACAACGGTTTTATCTAACATAAACATAGTACATGAATAATGTAGGCGTGGTAGTGTGCCAAGATTTTGGAAACCGGTGTGTCGTTGGTAATCATTCGAAAGTCATTTTGGACAGGCTATGCTTGAAGCTTACGAGGCGTCTGAAAATTAGCCTTCTCCTCGTTTTATCTGATTACTGTCGCCGTGTATTACGCTTATCACTCGAATATGCCTGTAATTTCAACCACTTCATTACTGCTTGTCACTGATGTTAAATCGCCCTTTAGCTGCACATCCAGCCAGCTAAACTCTGATAGTTACCGCTTTCGAGAGAATGCTAGTGGGGCGAGGCTATCCGAAAACTGTACAAATATGCCGGAAAGCACTGGAGGTTGCCTCTTTAATCCTACTTAAATAGCCATCCGTTAATTGCATGATTGTCGACGCACGATAACCTGCAGAGTCAAACTCCTCTTATGGCAAAACAAAATAAAACATAACTGACGGATGTTGATACCAAATGATTTCCATTTCAACCAAGTAACTGAGAAGGGAGATAGGTGTACATAACCAACTTACGACGGATTGTATTGCACTGTATTAAAAACTGAATAAAGTCAATTTCAAGGCCAGGGACTCGTTAGCGGCTCTAACCACGGGGCGGGAATTCTTCATGGTAGCGATTTTCTTAGCATATAGTGATTGATAAAATGAGTCCATCAGAAATTTAATCACCGCTTGATGCGCGGTTGTTCAAACCACTTACGTGGGAATCAAGTTCGGAGCAATCTCGATTTTGGTCACATGCTAAACTTGAATGATTCAAAATGAAGTAAGATCAGGTAAGAATAGGGTCCGCCAATGCACTTGTCCAAACGCATGTTTGGATTGGCGAATTAAAGTTACAACTAAGTGCTTGTCAGCTGAAATGCAACTGATGAACCCTGGATCAAGTCTGCAATTGTTTAGATTATTTACAACAGTCTTTCTGAAAATAGATCGGTAAATTCTGAGAGAAATCTTGTGCTTCACTGAACTGCGAGGTGGATCTGTTTCGTGATTAGCAGGCGCAAGTAGCATTTTCACCAAAACATTTTGCATTGGCATGTTATATAGCTACAGCGACAACCGATTATTTCTTTTCAGTTTTTTATAGCACAGTTGATCTTGTGAAATAATGCTACTTTGATATTTTGTCGGATTCAAGGCTCCATTAAAACGACTTCCAGGCCAGAACGACCTGTGGTAATTGAGTTTCGTACGTATATCGGTACAACCCGACAAACTAGAAATCCAGAATTCAGCGAAG